CCCAGAGGACTAGGGAGTCTTCTGTTAGGGTTGCCACCTTAGCCGAGGTGTCCCAGTTTTAAGGCCCTCACCCATCCCTATCAGGGGTTGGATTTGTTGGTATCACTGGTAGATGGTCCACCAGCTGAAGCATATCTTGTGTGTTATTGGTCATTGCATCTCATAAGACTATATTACCATCCATTCACCCTCCTCGTTTATCCGGGCTTGGGACCGGCACTAGGAAGTACGAAAGTACTCCCTAGAGGCGGAGTTATATTTTCTAACATGTTCTTTAAATTTTATTGTACTTACACTAATATAAACGGAGAGCGATTAATTTCATATTTATTTAAACAGAAGGAAGCAGTGGATAAATTCTTCGATCGAGAGACAGAACATAGGAAATTTGCACGTGAGAGGCAGGACAGGTGGATGGCAAAGAATGCTGATGCGCTACAGGCAAAGAAGGAGGCGGCACAAACAGAAATGAAAAAAAGGGAAGCCGAGAAAAGGGCAAAGGAGAGACTTGAAAAGGAGAAAAGGAGACAGGAGGAGGAAGAACTACAAAGGAGGAAAGAAAAAGAAAGTAAAGATTACAGGAAAGAAGAAAATGTAAGAAAGCACTTTGAATCAGAACAAGAGAAGTACCTGATTGGTGTTTTGTTGGAGAAAAAGAAGTTGGATGAATCAGCTTTGTTGAACAAGAAGGTGCCAATTGACCAGTTCAAAGAGGAGGAGAGACAAAAGAGATTAAAGCAGGGTAAAATGAAGCAGAAAAATAAATTGGCCGAGAGAGTATCCACGCTGTTTCCAGAAATGGTCAAAGTAAGTTATAAGTCACATAAAATGGAAAAGGTTTGTTTTTGTGACATTGATCTATTATAGTTACAGGATAATTGTCTTTACAAATTTTCTGTTGTCTGGATAAAAAATATATTTTTCTTTTGAAAGAAGACTCTGTCGCCAGCTTGTGTAGAAAATTGGCCCACTATGAAGAACTTCATTTAACAGATCCTCTTAGATTAAATAATCCGGCCTTTTAACTGAAGATGCAGCTATACCCCAGTTAATGTCAAGGTTGCATTCTGTAAAAGTGTAAATGATGGCATAATGACATAGTGAAGCAATTTTTGCCTTAATTAATGTAGGTTAATAATAAATTCACGCAACTCATTTTTGACACATATTCTTTATGTCAAAAAATAGATTACAATAAAATCATAAAGAGCTAATATTAAATGTTGCAAATGTTCACCACATTCAGCAATGAATGTATTCGCTCTTTTCCTCATGTTTCTGCAGTCACATTTGAAACGTATAGCTCAGTATTTTTTTTAATTCTTCTTATGTGTGCGGATGGTTTTTGTGCGGCTATTCATCAGCAAAGGTTGAGCATAGGGAAATGGTTTTTGAAAAAGAAGTCACATAACCTTTGCTTATTGTTTTAGGTTTGGCACTGTAAATGTCTCTGTAGGAAACTATGACATTAAGCATTGCCGTAACAACGTTTGTTGGAATGTTCTCAAATCACAATCCAAGAAAACGGATTCTTCATCAGTAAAATTGACGTTTTCCGTAGATTTTGTGGGGCAAATTTTCTCCTGGGACGCCTTTTTCAGTTTCATCTTCGCTATTTGTTTTCAATAACTGATGTTGTTGTTAAATCCTATTTCTTGAGCTTCTGGAATGAAATTTTAGCAATTCATATACATTTTCATCAACCACATCAAATTCCATGTTCGTTGTCAGGGCAAAATTATACTTTATAACTACCAAAACAGTTTTAAACTCTAATTTTATAGACTGACTGTGGCACTTTGCTCTTCCTGATATGATTCATATAGCATGGGTCGATGTTAACCAACGTTTCGGAGGTCATACTGCCTCCGTCATCAGGGCGATGAGTATGAAGATTTCTGTCTTCTGGGTTGTGCCGCTGTGTAGTCTGGTCGATGTTTACCAATGTTTCTGAGGTCATGCTGCCTCCGTCATCAGGGTGATCCATCTACCATACTACACAGCGCAACAACCCAGAAGACAGATCTTCATACTCACCGCTGTGAGAACCTCAAATCATACCCAATGTATTATTTTATGTTGTTTTAATTTATTTTATTTTTATTTATTTAATGATGCTGTCAGCAGCTCAGACTATTTAACACTACACCAAATTTACTGTGAATTAAAATTTTACAGCGCAGAATTTTCTGCACTATTTTATATGAAGCATATGAGCAGAACAGTGATGAATTATGAATTGTGGAGGAAGTGGTTGTGAGCTATTGTAATCATGTAAGAAATTACCAGGGCAAAGAAAGAAATAGTACAGAAATTGTAACAGTTAACAGGAATAACAGCTTCAAGGTTTCATTTGAAGATATTAGAAAACTGGGGTTTAGACCAACATAATTTTGGATGCCATTGCATTTGTTCAGAAGTAATTTCTATAATTAAATTTATTTGACACGAATCTCTTAAAGCAGAATAAAATATTTATGTGATGTTCAAAGATTCTTTGAATAATGCAATTATATTTGTTGAAAATTACAGAGAGAATGATTAGAAGGATTTAATATTCGAGATAAACCGTGCATTTGAAGTGAACCAGAATGAACGTCTTGCAGAAAGAAGATGGTGATGTTGCATGGATCTGTACAGAAACACCAATAGAAATGAGAGATACTATAAAGGAGAAGGTGACGTTACAGCCTGGAGAGAAGTCTGGAAAGAGAGCAGGAAAAAAAGAAATATAGAATTAGATGATTTATCACATTATATTATTTTAAAAATAGCCAAAACAGGGAAACATGATTGACTTTACATGTAATTCAATTCTAAAGGGTTCTGACGACGGTAGTTTACACTTAAAATTATTCATTGTCAGGACTTTTTTCATCGTCTAATCTTTAAAAAAAACCACGACGTTTCGGAGGCTGGTAGAATAAAAAGGCATTCTGTCACTTTGTCACCTTGAAGAAGTTTCCTGTAAAAAAAATCAGAAATAATTCACCAAAACACTTGTAAGGCTTAATGTGAATTGTTTCTGTTTGAGAAAGTATTAGCAGAGTAAGAAATATCTAATTAGAAATAAAAATCAAACAGTTACGTGTGTATGCATGAAAATGGAGTGGGCACTAAGGCATCCTTTGCACTGCAACCATTTGCTGATATTTTGTTTTTCCCCCTCTGTTAATCTTCCAGTAGCTCCTTGCCGGCAGTGAAGCACAGTATCTTACTAAGCGAGATATGATAATCGCCTGGTTTCAGGAAATGCCTTCCCAAATGGCGACATTGTATTTCAGCTAAGGCCTCGCAATCACAAAGGATATGTGACACTGTTTCTGTTTATTTGTAGCACCTTCTAAAAATGGAGTTGTCCCCTTAAATGACATCATAACAAACGTATACTACAAGATTTTCTATTTCCTTTTATGTACCTTGCTCATCATTCCTTTTCCTGGCTTAGTGAATTTATTACACTGCCACGGTGGTCTAGCGGTTAGAACGCTGGACTTGTAATCCTGGGGTACTGGGTTCGATTCCCGGCGGTGCCCGAATTTATAACTTGTGTTGGGCAAGGCCATGGTCTAGGCAACACGGAGTTTTCCTCCGGGGGCTTTCCCGGTTTCTCCGTGGCATTCACACACAGAAGAAGGCAATGGCAAACCACTTCTGGATCATCTGCCAAGAACGTATATGAACAGGTCCCAGTCCGAGAAAAGGATGGAAGGATCCTGTTCATAATATGTCGCCAACCTCCTGTAAAGGAGATGGTATAATAAAGAAGAAGAAGTGAGTTTATATGGACAGGTAACACTATGTACAAAAATATATTTCTTATGTACCAGATTTCAATACTAGTGTGACATGGTATGAATGTGCAGACTAACATAATTTGCTCCTTAACATCATATCTTTATTGTTGTGGGACTAATTTGGGTGACTGTCTATTTTGGCAAGTGTAAGGTAATACTGTTAGAAAGTCAGAATATGTAGGTGGTTCAAATCTGATCTGGAATTTTAATCACAGCATGTTACCTGTTTCAATTTAATCACCATCATAATTAACGTATTGGTTAATGGGTGTAGTACAGTCCTGTAGTTGAAATCTATTTTAACGTAAATACGTCTATACGGAAGGGCCATAAGGCAAAAACCGTTACGAAGATAAGTTCCATACCAACAATGTAAATATGGAGGCTGAGCATGCTGTATAATTGCCTGAATAAACCGTATTGCAATCCACTCCTTTACGTAGGAAACTGTCATCTGTTTATTTGGAATTGTTGTGTTTCATTACTGCCGTCAACAATCCGCTTTTATTATTGCGGAAAGAGCTGAGCTGTGAATCGCTTGTAGAAGAAGTGCGTCGTAGAGTAGATAATATTGTGCTGTTAAAAACGTTTTAGAGTATCACAAGTACTTATCTTATATAAGAATTGTTAAGAGATCTGTGATACTGCCCTCCACTCTCTCCATTTTAGTTTTGATTAAATTCATCTTTGCCGGTGGACATCGTGGTCTCGTACAATTGAACAAAGTTTGAGGTAAGGGATTCCTATTTATTATTATTGTTCATCAACTTTAAAGTTTTCATCTGCATTTGTGAACTCGTGTAAGAGAATTAGGCTTGTCTTCTTTTGACATAAATACGTCTATACCGAAAGGTCATTCGGCAAAAACAGCGTTAGTTACGAAGTTGTGTAAGATCCAGCGCCTGGCCATTCCTCACATAAGTGTGGAAATATGTGATTTGTACTTGAATACATAGATTCTACATGCATTCTATGCAGATTTTGAATTCTCAGTGTACCCAGCAATCAAATATTTTGAGAACTTTACCCAAACTAACCTAACCTGACCTTGATTATTTTGGTTACCATGGCTCCCACAGTTGCCTTGGCTAACATGGTGACTATATTTATTTGAGGTATCATGGTTACTTACGCGCGAGGGAAAACAATCGCAGAAAACATTTGGGGAAAAAATATTGTAGATGTAGCTTTTACGTTAAAATAGCATTGTTCGTTATTTATACAATTCTGAATTATCAACAAATGATTACTTCAGTTGGGCTATTGTACTCATACAACTTCAGTTTCAAACTCTTCTTCCCACCTCATTTCCTGTTTTCTGCTGTCGACAAATATAATAATGACCAACGCTGCCAGCGAAATGAAAACATTTCTGGCCCCGGGGTGTCCAGCATGTTGGTTTATTACTGCATATGTTTAAATAATAACCAACTGAGATTATGATTCGATTTTGAACAATTTTCCAGTGAAAATCAAATCTTTGTTCGAATTATCGTAGATCCAAATATACGGGTATTTAGCCTGTTCATACGGAAGCACAGAAAACAATCACTCTCTCTATCTTATCTTCTGTCTGTATACCTGCTATCTATGTGGTATATACTGGTGTTTGTGAAATGATGCAACCTTCTTTTTTAATTTTCCTATAATAGTTCTTGGACGTCACATCCGTACTGGTCGTACTGACGATCCGTGGTTTTTATGTATAAACTGTGGTCCCATCCATGGTTCTGTCAGTCCAGGAAAATGGCGGAAGACGTGGAAGGTGACTGCGATATTTCTGTACGAAAGCAACTAATACAATCGCAAATGGGGAAGCCAATGGTTAAAGGACAGACCTGGTAATGTTACGTTTAGCTTTTTATTACACGTCTCTTTTAGATCTTGTTTTGGTTGATATAGTATCACATTATATTATTTTCTTTGGTAACCATGATCCGTAATTTTAGTTAACCTAATTGTTGGTAATATTAAATGTCGTGAACCGCTAGTTGTGAGAGTGTTTTCTCTCATGTTTGTAGAAGTTTTTCGTTGCATTGAAATTTTGCCAGCTGTACTAGTATTTCCACCCTTTGAGGAAGTTTCCGTTGCGTTGTAGTTTTGAAATTTGGCCTAATGTACAAGTAATTTTGTCCCCTTGTTAGCAAGTTTTCTTACTAACATACAAAAAGGTATTTATACGTAACGAAACTCGTCATTGAAAAAGGCCAGACGTATGCATTATAACAAATATATATTAGAGTCTGATAAAGTAAAAGCTGTTTGGAAAATTGTAAAAGGCGAAGCAGTTAAACATATCGCTGTTGAAACAACCTTCAGTAAAGATGCATAATAATGTTATATGTTATAATGTTGTAACAGGCGTGTTCAATACATATTTCGTAATGATTGCGAAGAAATTGTACATTGGCACTAAAAGATCAACAAAAGAAGAGCCAATAAATTACCGTGCATGACTAAAGACAATCCATTAAACATTCCTAAATCTTATGCAACAGCAGTGATTTAAATTTAAAAGAAAAAAATAATTTTCATAAGAGGAAGTTTGCAGTGTTATGATGAATTAGTGGTGTTGACAAAATTACTCAGAACTTGCTCAGACTGTCTTAATGTTTCTTAAGTTATATGTGTAATCAGTCATTCGCCAAAGACATCTTTCTAAGATGACTTAAGTATTTGAAAGAAATCTTGTCTCACCATGTACAGGCCAATTTCATAACTAAAAGTAAAGTAAAGCTGTCCCATTATATGCCATGTAGGCGCTTGGGTGGGGGGAGGGGGTATAGCTCCAACTCATTCTTAACCTTGGCACTGGATGGTGGTGAGTGGTTAGCTTCATTTCATGACTGCTTTACCCCTGGGAAAGGACCCTGGTACCCATTGGATAGAAAGCTTGGTGGGCCACAGAAGTATTTGAGATGCAGAGGCTAGTGTAAAAATCTTCTGCCCCTATCAGGGATGGAACCCCGGTCATCCAGTCAGTAGTTAGTCATTATACTGACTGATGTGATTATGATGATAAAAATTATTACTGATATAGAAAATGTAAGTTGATTTAGTGGGTGTGACTTTTTAAATTTGTGCCAGGTTTATTCCTCATTCTTTACAATTTGTTATATATTAATCATCCATTTATCTGATGTTATATAGTTTGAATTTCTGAAAGTGTCATTAAGTAGACCACAAATAAGTAATTTCTGTGGTAGTGAGGTCTGGGTCATCAGATAGCAGCCTCAGAAGATTACCAAACACTTAATATTTTTGTAGCTTGTGCTTGTGGTGTTATATTGATGTGTATGACACTATCTTTGGTGGAATGTTTGAAAATTAATTTTTGTAAGAGCCATTTTCTCTAGGTGTCTCTTGAGGGTGCTGAAGTTGGATCCTTGTTTTGTGTGGTTTTGTGATAGTCTTGCTAACAATTGTGTTTAGTTATGGACTAGGAATTTGTTTTTGGCCCACATAAAATAATTGAGTTTATCTGTGTGCCTGGCAGTGAATCTTTTTGCCCTTCTTTAACGTCTTCTGATGTCCTTCATCCGTATTTATTAAAATATTTAAAAAAATCAATAGGTAAATATAATATATTAAAATCTGCTGACTGTAACTGTCATTACTTTGAATTTCTAACAGTAGTTAGCTGCAAATTTAATCTTTCTTTAGAATGTAATTATAACATGGAACAGAAGGAAACTTGTTGTAAGTTTACATACAGAAATTAAATCCATGAACATATATTGGGGACCCGGGATAGCTTAGTCAGTACAGTGACTAACTACGGGCTGGACGACTGGGGTTTGATCGCCGATGGGGGCAGAGGAATTTTCCTGTAGTATCTGCGCCTAGAACTGCTCTGGGGCCCACCTAGCCTCCGATCCAACAGGTACCGGGGTTCTTTCCTGGCAGTAAAGTGCGGCCTGGGCGTGATGCTAACCACTCACCCCTATCTAGTGCTAAGGTCAAGAATGTGTAGGAGTTATACGTCCACTCCCCCAAATGACCTACATGGCGTGTAATGTGACGGTTTTGCTTTAATTTATGAACATATATTGGAACCTACTTCTAGAAAGGAAACCTAATACAAGAATTGTGATAAGTCTTTAAACTTTGCAGAAATGTAAAATATTGGGAATTGTTTTGTAAAGGATGGATTCTGTTGTCTTCAAAAGTATAATCGTGAAGTTTATGTTGTCACAGTGTCCAAGTTAACAGACAAAATTTGTCCCTTTGATTACCTAGGACAGGTAAAAGGAAACTTCTGTTCCAGGTATTGGGTATGTAAATATTTATACACTATAAATGTAATGTTTTCCTTAATTTGGATTCCAGACTACAGGTATGAGTTGCATATGTTATTAACCACATGTTGTGACTGATTGCTTGCTGTCCATTACTTAGCAACATTAATAATGTTTCTTTTCATTTTAGGTATTTGATTGACAGCAAGTGGTTCAAGAACTTCAAACATCGCGTCGGCATGGATGATGCTTCAGACGCAATTGGTAGTGTAGCTGATCCTGGACCCATTGATAACAGTTCATTGTTTAATGGTATGTATTTTCATCTTTATTATGTAATGTTTGTGCGTGAGATATATAGCATTATCTGTTGCACTGAATCACATTATTTAATTGATACATATAATTAAGATAATAGTAAACTAAAGATGAAGTTTAGATTGACTTGTTAATTTACATGGAGACAAAAGCATAGAATTTTTCAAAATCTGTCATCTGTCTCTTTGAATTAAAAATATTTCATTCCCCTGACAAGTATTCTCTACTTATGTGATTTGAAGCATTTGCGGCGACATAACTCAATAAAATCCTCTCGGGCGATCATCCATGTCTGATGGTTAAAAGACGAAACTGATGTTTCAGGGACCCACATCATCAGGGTTCTGATGATGTGACTGATCGCCCCGAGAGGATTTTATTGTGTATTCTCTACTCTCTGGTTACTGACCATCTGTTTTTTATTTTGTAATATGAATATTGCTGTCAAGTGCAATCAGTAAGTAATTATTGGAAACAAATTTTGGTTCAGCTGTCAGGAGAACAAACATTCCTGACTTTTTTAGTTCTGGGGTGCATTGTCGTGCGTATTACAGTAAAATTTTGTTATTCAGTGACTCATTGTTCTGGATAGATACCCATTGAGAACCGACTTTTGAAATGATTTCTTCTGAATGATGTTTTATAGTTATTTGTTAAGCTGTCCCACTATACGCCATGTAAGCGCTTTGGGGGAGAGGAGGTATAGCTCCTACTCATTCTTGACCTCAGCACTAGATGGGGGTGAGTGGTCAGTATCACGCCCTGACCGCACTTTACCCCCGGGAAAGGACCCTGGTACGCATTGAATAGGAGTCCGGGTGGACCCCAGAACTGATTGACGCAGAGACTAGAGGAAAAATCCTCTTCCCAAATCAAGGGACCCACATCATCAGGGTTCTGATGATGTGACTGATCGCCCCGAGAGGATTTTATTGTGTATTCTCTACTCTCTGGTTACTGACCATCTGTTTTTTATTTTGTAATATGAATATTGCTGTCAAGTGCAATCAGTAAGTAATTATTGGAAACAAATTTTGGTTCAGCTGTCAGGAGAACAAACATTCCTGACTTTTTTAGTTCTGGGGTGCATTGTCGTGCGTATTACAGTAAAATTTTGTTATTCAGTGACTCATTGTTCTGGATAGATACCCATTGAGAACCGACTTTTGAAATGATTTCTTCTGAATGATGTTTTATAGTTATTTGTTAAGCTGTCCCACTATACGCCATGTAAGCGCTTTGGGGGAGAGGAGGTATAGCTCCTACTCATTCTTGACCTCAGCACTAGATGGGGGTGAGTGGTCAGTATCACGCCCTGACCGCACTTTACCCCCGGGAAAGGACCCTGGTACGCATTGAATAGGAGTCCGGGTGGACCCCAGAACTGATTGACGCAGAGACTAGAGGAAAAATCCTCTTCCCAAATCAGGGATCGAACCCAGGTCGTCCAGTCCGTAGCCAGTCACTATACTGACAGATACACCAGCTTATTATTTAAACATCTGTGGATCAAAAACTTGAACTGACCATCTAATTCTGGTGTTGTCTTCAGTTGAATTCGTGGATTATTAGCTCAGATCATTAATAATTTCAACAATTTTGTTTACAGATGATGGAAGTGGCACTATAAAAGAAAATTTAGTTGATGAATTGGACTACGTGTTAGTTCCAAGTGAATCATGGGACCTCTTAGTGCAGTGGTATGGTACAGTGGACAAGAACACTGCCATACCCAGGCAGGTGAGTTGTTCTGTTGCTCTATCTTGGTTACTGATGTTTGGGTTGACCTTGTGTGTACTTATTTGAACGATTCTGTCGTTTCCTGACCACTGGCCATCAACAGTCTAGCTTTTGCTGGGATCTTCCAGTTAGTCTTAGTACGACTGTAGAATCACTCTAAAAGAGCATCTTAACTGTAATATAAGAGTTGCTGGAAACTCTGTTCTTGTTTACTATGCATTATGTGTAATTATATTCTGCTCTTTGTATCTAAATATGTATGAAATGTGTTGTAATATGTAATTAATCATGACAGTTCAATATCAGGTTGAAGTCTTGCACATTCAGGAACACAACCCCTGTTTTCTTACTCGTTATATACAGTAAAACCCCTCAAGTTGGACACCCCTATATCCACCCCTTTATATTGGACACTTTTAATTGGAACTGGCGAATATCCTATAATTTTACATGTCCACAATACCCTATATCTTGGACACCGCTTTATCCTGGAACTTGAACACCCCTTTTGTTGTAAGTTGGACAGGTTTGTGCACTTTATTTCGATGCTTTTCAGGGAAACTTTTTCAGTTCCATATTTTGTTATTTTGAATTTCTGAAGTGTTTAACTATTCTTTTGCTGAAACCTTAACTGGACTTCAGTATTGCAGAAGACACAGTTTTAACTCCATCAGCACTGTTCTTGCATTTGAGTTCAGACTGCGTTAACAGAAATGGAATTTTTCTTTTTGCGATGAGGAAGCACATTTTCGTGGAACCCCAAGTGTCCAACTTAGAGAGGTTTTACCGTATTTCCCATTTTACATGTTTTCATTACATACATTGATTCACACCCATGTGTGTAATGGGAGTCACCTGTGAGCCATAAACATTACATTGATTTGTGTTCCAGCGTGTGAAAATAAGTTTTTAATTTGCTTTATCTTTTTTTTTTCAGGTTGTTGAGTTTGGGTTCTTTGTAAAGCAGTGTAGAGTTGAAGTGTATTTTCTGGAATTAAGACTTTGTAAAAATTTCAATCTTGAAACTGAAATTCTCCACAAATTTAGCAAAGGTGACACAATAGGTAAGTTTGAATTAATTTTGTAGCATCAGAGAATGTAATGAGTAGAGACAGAGATATACTTTTTATATAATTGTTGTGTGCGTGTAATATTTCATTTTTCATTAGAACATATTTAGGTTTTGAATTTATATGGCGAGACTTACTAGACGTAGGATTGATGTTTGATGCTGTCGAAAAGATCTACAAATTGAGCGTGGACTTGCAAGGACCTGTACATGGTGAATCAGAATAAATGCTCGAATAAAAATTTGTTAAGAAAGATGAGTGTTCCTAGGCCCTTCCACTGATGTAACTGAAATTTTCCACTTGCGCTTGAACTTTGACTTCACAAAAGGATTGCAAAAATAACCCTCCAATTGATCGAGCACTTTTTACAGAAACCGACAAGAATCAATTAAAATAATATTGTTTGGTTGTGAACATTCTGATTAGCATATGGGCTCACGTACTGGATATAAAACTGGCGAGAACATTTTAATGCTCACTTGACATTTGGCGAGATGGAAATAAAATATTGTGGTCAGATTTCAACTAAATTAAATATATTGGCTTTATATCTGAATGAAAATATGTTTCAAGAAGAATTTCTGCATGTGAAATTTCTTTGTGTGAATGTGAAGAATTTCTGGAAATGTATCTGATGGTCAGTCTGACTAGATTTTCATTGATGATGAACTATTTCTGTGCTTTCATTTATCTGATTTGTTGGACAACTTGTTCCATTCTTAGACCTCACAGGTTCTGATTGCTTAAAGGAAGAAAATCAGTCACATGGCAAGAATAAGGACTATGGATGGGAGAAGAACTTGATGACATTTTTAATTTTGTATAAAACTCTAAATTCAATTTTTTTAACTGTTTAAAAAACTTTGTCAGCGATGTCTTGTTAAACATTTTTATTTTTGTTGCATGTTTTTTTATTTTCATTTTCAAGACTTATTTAAAGTTAATCGCAAATTCAATAGCAAATGGGGAGGAATAAGAAAGGATTTTACAGTTTATCAGTAAATATATACTGGTACCTCATTTTTTAAAACAAAACTATTAACAGTTACCTATGTATTGGAAAGGTTGGTGTACATTTTATACTGAACTTATCAAAAAATTAAAGTAAAGCTGCATAAGTAATTAATCATACGTAGATAGTACTATATGATTTTTTGCTTATAATTTTCTCAAGTTTCAGGATTACTGAATTCCATGTTTGGTTTCTGTACTGAACTGTGGATTCTTTGTGGTAACCGTATATGTATTAATGGAGTATATAAAATTTAAGCAAGAAGAAAGTGTTTTTATTATTGTTATGTTATCAATATTTATTCACGTCACAACTGTTTTTTGATGAAAATGAAACTGAATTGTTTATATAAGGACCAGTGCAATTACTGGGTTTGTGATTTGATTGAGTGAGAAAATGCTTTGTCTGATTTTGCAGGGAATATTAAAAAGACCATGAGGAAACTGTATGAAATACCAGATGAAGTGGAAACGAGAATATGGCGTTGCCACTCTTCAACTGAAATTGATGAACTTGCTAAAGAAGAAAGTACTGCGCAAGATACTGGACTCTACCACAACCAGTTACTGGTTATAGAAACTCGTTCTGAAGATGGAAGTTGGGTCCGCCAAACCAAGAAGTATGATCCTTGAAAAGACAATGTTTAAAACTAATTTTATGTTTGTTCATTTTTCCTTCGTCTTTGTTGTTATTGTTAAATTGTAATTGTAAATGTTTCCACCTTCACATTTTCTTGGTGATTCACAAAAAATATCTGAACAATCTGTTCACTAGTTGGTGAATTGGTTGACCCAGCGTCATGGCCTCTTAAGGTCACCTGATCTAATACTAGTTGACTTCTTATGGGCATTTGAAAACAGTGTTCAAGCCACCTGTACCAAGAAATGTGAATGACCCAAAGAATAAGATTACTAAAATCATTAAAACGTCACACCTGACATGCTACTTGTGTGTGGGAAATCCATATTTATGAGTTGTACCATGTCAGAGTTGGTAGTCTCATTGACTGCTGTTGTCACTGAAGCTTTGTATGTCTAGCTATTTTACCATATTATCATCATCATCATGGGCGCTACAACCCAGGGTGGGTCTTTGCCTGCTTGAGCTTTTATGACAAGTGATTTTTACAGAGTGGGGGTGTTATCCCCATGCCCAGCCCCCAACCTGCAGGACCAGGCCTCTGTATTTATATCCCCCGGAGGCAGGGTGGTCCAGCTATACCCCCAGACACCAGGTACCCATTTTAGTCGCCTCTTACGACATTCATGGGCTATAGTGGGGCTATTATTATTCTCCGACCACCACACAGAGAACCATATTATCATGTTGTGTAATTAAATTTGTGTATCCATTGAAAGTTGTATACATGGCTTAGACTACTGATCAGTGTCTGTTGAATTTTCATGCATTGGACACTGAAAAAGCTGTACAATGACATTCTTTTATCTTCTGCAATGTTGCTGTCTTTCACCAAAGAAAAATAAACAATTTTTCAACTACAGTAAAGCTTATCCAATAGATGTAAAATATTGATTTTGGATGTGACTGTGTTAAAATAGAAGAAGACAAATATCTGCATTTGTTTACAGAATGCCTGGTACATGCCGAACTGCAACGACCGTGTCAGACAAGAGCTCTACTGCAGGCCCCAGTAGTATAATGTAAGTTACTTTTATTCTCAGAGTGGTTTTACTCCTGGGGATTGTTAGTGTGCTAGCCTAGCGTCATTGAAAAGGTCCTGGATTTGATCCCGATCATTGTCATTAGTAATATAAAAAAAGTCTGTAGAATGACGACCAATTTCCTGAAGACAGAAGTAGAGCCAAATGTCAAAACATGATGGTGGACAATGTCCAACGTAGTGTTTTTACGAGGAATAGGAGTCTTTGACACAACATGTTATATGTCTCTGACGCGTGCCTTTGAAATTGCAGGACAACACGGTTTAACCCATATGGCTACCCCAGCGAAAGTCGCTCTGCCCCAGGACTCTGTGGCCTGTGTAATCTTGGAAACACGTGCTTCATGAACAGCGTCCTACAGGTATGTGTGTTTTAGTTACACTTAATTGTAGATTCATGACTCATCAAGAAATTCCTTGCTATGTTGTGATTGATTAAAAGCAGTGTACAGGATTTTATTTTTTATGCTGTTTTATTTGGAATGATATGAGACCTGGCACATTGCATGTTGTGAGCACCTTGTGACAGAAGTTTGAGTTTATTCAGTGTGATAATGGAACATCAGATGTGCACCAGGAAAGTAGTGTAATAAGATATTTCCTTGCTGAGGAAGTTTGTAGTTTTTAAATTCACTGACGTGTACAGTGAACAAGGAGAATAAATATTTCTTGCCATCCAAAATGTTTCTACAGTTTTTGCGTTTGTGGAAAGGTCAGAAATTTGTTATTGATGATGTCATGTCTTGCCATGAATTGCTGTCACTGATGGCAAGATATTTGATATGCGAAATCTGTACCTCTAGCTATGAAAGGTCTTGAGGAAATGGATTCCCAACAACTTTAAGGTGTAAGATTTGAGGTTTTCACAGCAGTGAGTATGAAGATTTCTGTCTTCTGGGTTATTGCGCTGTGTAGTCTGGTCGATGTTTGCCAACGTTTCTGAGGTCATACTGCCTCCGTCATCAGGGTGATGAATATTCATATTCGACCAGACTACACAGCGCAACAACCCAGAAGACAGAAATCTTCAACTTTAAGGTGGCACTAAATCTGTTGATATGGGACAAATTTGTACACAGTGAGTAGATTCAGCAACATGTCCATTTCTTGTAGGGGTTTAAAAAAGCCTGTGTCCCACTGGGTCTGTTAATCTTGTACAGCAGTAGAGAAAATGTGTGCAATTGCCCTGTGGTTATATGGTGAATTAAAAGTACCAGAGATCTTGTTACAAATTCACGGAGTATAAAATGGATTAACTCCTGGAATTTGTTTGTATGATTTTTACCATGGCAGACAAACATCTTTGTGGTTGCTTCATTATTTAATTCATAGGCAGTGGTCTTCAAGTTGCTATTTTTTGTTGTATGGATTTAATTAGGATACCCCTTCATTTTCAGTGCATGAGTAACTGTCCACCAATTACTAAATATTTTCTAAATGAAGAGCACTTCAGTGAACTGAATGAAGAAAATCCTTTGGGCATGAAGGGAGAAATCGCTAAGGCATTTGGGGAGTTAATTAAGACAATGTGGTCTGGTCGACATTCATACACAATGCCGCATAACTTCAAAGTAAGTATGTAAGAAGTGCGTTTGATTTTTTATTTTCATTTTTATTATTATTGTTGTTATAGAACACTTTTGAGTAGATCGCATGTTAAAAACTCGAGGACGTTTCTTTAAAATATGTACCGTTGAAATTTACTGTTATAACAGTTGGTAAAATAAAAATTGTCATAACATGGTCACTTCATGTTTATGGTTTAGGTGTATACAAATTTGAACACATTTTTCAGAAGTCTGTTCTGTAATCATTTGATGCTTGGCATCTATCATGTTGATGGTGTGTTGTACAATTTCATGTTTGAAGCCTTATCTTTTGCATAAACATTAAAAATGGAACAGTTTAATGTTATTGCAGTAATGTACACAAAATGAAGTGGGTTACATAAAAGCTATTAGTTGAAAACTGCAATAAATATTGTAATGTCACTGTGCTTAAGAATTACATTTTGATAATGTGTGAGGAAGAATTCTTAACCTAGGGTATTACGTGAACACCATGAGAATTTCAGGTCTCGGTAATCATGACTGCCTTAGAACAATATGAATATTTTAAGTGTATCTTTTAAAGATGTTTATAATTGTATTGTTATTGAAAATCTGAAAGACTGAGTAAGATTATTTTATCTTATGTACTTTTTGACAGCTTCAGGTGGGCCGATTTGCCCCACAGTTTTCAGGCTACCAGCAGCATGATGCACAAGAACTGCTCACATTTTTGTTGGATGGTCTACATGAAGATCTTAATAGAATTAAGAAGAAGCCTTATATAGAACTTCAAGATGCTTCTGGTCGTCCTGACAAGGTATAAATTACATCACATATTATTTAGATAATCAGCTTCAAAATGGTTAAATACTGAAGCTACAGCCTTACAAGATGGTCTGCATCATGCCCTGGCTGCGCTTTACCCCCAGGAAAGGTGACTGGGTGGGCCCCAGAACCAGTCTGAATGCAGAGGCTAGAAGAAAAAGCCTCTGCCCCTGTCAGGGATCGAACCTCGTGTGTCCAGTATGTTGCCATTCACAATACTGACTGAGCTATGTCGCACAGCAGCCAAACTTTATTTCTGTAACTTCACGACGTTGTACTTCATCCAGAGTTGATTTCTTTAGACAAAGCTTGGTTTTGTATGAATGGGCACATAAACACTCAAAATAACAAGTATTGGAGTAGGAAAAAAATGAAGATCTATTTCATGATGTAAAATTTGGTGTTTGGTGCACCCTGAGTGTTGTTCATGTTACATGTAGAAGCAATTATGTGTGAGAGATGTGTAAAGCAGAGATATTGGGCCAATATACTTTACTCTGCAGTGTTATTATAGTCTTGCTATTTCAGCACCTAACCAAGTAGGAAAGGCAGTAAGCAATGCAATGTTCTTGCATAGCAGAAAAGCCATACCCTAGTATAGCCACCAAATTGCCTACCAGGTGTATCTGCTATAATAATAATAATCTGTGGCGTAACAGCCCTCTGAGAGCCATAGTCGACTAGCTGGCTGCTGGCCTCACGTTCACATGCCTAAGCAGAGGTGAACGATGATCCAACCAGATATAGGGTGACATGTGGTCAGCATGATGAACCCCCAGCCATCGCTAGTTTTCATGACCGGATTACGCTACCCATTGTAGCTCCCCAATTTCCTCACGATGCTGGGTTCGCACCGGTCCCATACACCGGTTGAAAATCTCTTGAGAAATTTCTTTCCTCGAGACTCAAACCAGCACGCATTCCATATCACTGGTCCGAAGCATGACGCCTCATCAGTATATATATTTTAAATGTGTAATGTAGACAAGATGGCTGTAATTGGCCTAAAATCACACTAGCTCTACTTAACAGGGTGTTCACACTCTTTTGAAGTTTGTTGTTAGCAAAATGTGTGTTTGACTTCTATGTGGAGACAGCTTTATGCCCCATGTATATTATTATACCTTATTAACATTTGTTGTTTTTGTATTGGTGAAGGATAAAGTGAGAAATGCGATATGCTTACACTTATTTGAACCTATGTTTGCTTTAGGACGTGGCCAAAGAAGCTTGGGACAATTACAGGAAGAGGAATGATTCTGTCATAGTCGACTTCTTCCATGGTTTATTAAAGTCTACCGTTGTGTGCCCAGACTGCAGCAAAGTATCGATCACATTTGATCCATTTTGCTACTTGTCTCTCCCTTTACCTACAAAAAGAGAACGAGCTTTAGAAGTAAGCATCCATCTCTTATTGATAGTGACTGGTATAAGAAACATTAATGAATCATTTTTTACAAGTAATATAATACTGGGAACGACCCGTTCTTCAAGTGCCTGAACACTGCGGGTCCCAACTTTTCGTTGGCTTGATCTATAGACATTTTGGTAGGACTCCTTGGTCGAGGGATCGGCCCGTCGCGAGGCCTCTACCTGTACACAGGACAGCACAACACAGAAAAACGCAGACAAACATCCATGGCTCGAGTGGGATTTGAACCCATGGTTCCAGTGACCAAGCGGCACAAGGCCCATGCCTCAGACCGCACGGCCACTGCGGACCCCTAAGTAATATAATATTCCTCCCATCTCGTATAAAAAGAAACTAACAGAAGTGTAATTTTGCCAGTTGTGCTCCTCAAAGTGAGAGACCAACATAGATTGAGGGTCTTTGAGAACAGTGTTGAGGAGGATATTTGGACCTAAGAGAGGAAGACGGATCATGGAGAAAATTGCATAATGATGAGCTTCACGGCCTGTACTCCTCACCTGATGTTATGGTGATTAAATCGAGGAGGATGAGGTGGGTGGGACATGCGGCACACATGGGGGAGGGGAGGAGTGTTTACAGGATTTTGGTTGAGAGGCCGCTGGGAAGACCTAGGCATAGGTGGGAGGATAACATTAAGATAGGCCTTGGGGAGATAGGAATCAATGGAGCGAACTGGATGCAGCTAGCTAAGGATAGAGTCCAGTGGCAGGTTTTTGTGAACACGGTGATGAACCTTCAGGTTCCATGAAGAAAGTGGGCTATTCTTTGACCAGTTGAGTATACAGTAGACTTTTTAAAGAATTCCCTGCACCATAGGGTGAGTGAATGTAATATTTGCACTTACTAATGAAGGATTGAATTATGTTTCGGTTAACATGCTGATACAATTGATTTTGAAAGTGTGTTAAATCAAGTCAGTGTAATAGAATATTGTCACTGACTAAATCACCAGAGTTACATGTCAGATGTGTTGTAGATTGGGCGAGAAAATTTTGTGATCCTCAAAGGCCTTATGTGTCTAAGATTATTGAAACTTGATTATATCATATCTGAGTCTCTTTTGTGTAATTAAATGTCATATTTATTTGTTTTATAGGTACTTTTGTTCCATTATGAAGCTACTCAGAAGCCAACCCACTACACAGTAATTGTGCCAAAAAGAAGCTTAATCAAAGACTTGGTCACAAATGTTGGGCAGTTAAGCGGCATTCAGCCTGATAATTTAATTGTAACTGAAGTAACGAGAAATCACTTCCACAAGTTCTTTTCAAGCAATGATTCTCTTGAAAAAATTGATGACAAAGATAAGATTTACATGTAAGTGTACTAACATAGGTTGTCTATGTTTTTGTGTGTATGTGCTTAGATCCATTCAGAAGTAGAAGTGTTCTATGTGTCTTGTCAGTCTGTTTGATTATCCATGCCAATAGGCCAAATCAGTTTTGACGAAAGTTTGTCGCAACTCATAATAAGAAATTTAAAAAATGTGCTTTTATTTGTGGCCCGTAATTGAAAATTGTGGTAGGTCATTAATATGTGAAACAAATAATTAGTAAATGAAAATGTTGATGGTGATTGTGGCCTCATTATTTGCCTGGAGGGACTGTGGAATATCATATAAAACCTTAATCATTATGCATGTAACTTGTCCTTGAAGCCTCCCAAATAAGAACCAGAGTGCTAACAACTTGGCTGTAATAAGTAACAAAGGCTGTATTGATTTAAGATTGCAGTTTTCTACAATTTCCCAACTGTGAAAGTAATTCACATGTTCTCAGTGGTTCCAATATAACAAAATAATGTATCCATCACTTGAAGATTTCTGTCTTCTGGGTTGTTGCGCTGTGTAGTCTGGTCGATGTTAACCAACGTTTCAGAGGTCATACTGCCTCCGTCATCAGGGCGATGAATATGCCAATAGGGTGTGAGAAGTTGGATTTTATAGGCAGGGAAGTGAAAGGTGTAGCCTGCCCCCAGCCAATGGGAGCAGGGATGGGGGTGGAC